AGTCTTTGTACTCAGAGTGACAAGATTCATGGTGCTGTTGCAGGTTTGTTTTCTTTAATGATAGTCTTCTGACAAAGAAGACACATTATTTTTCCATGTATCTCTGCAAAAGAGAATTTCTCCATCCAAATAGGGTTGAAAACCTTGTATTCATCCAACAAGCGTCTCTTCTTTGTTGCCATTTTTAATGCTTCTTATTACAAAGAAAATTGTATACCAATGTTTTGGGTGTTTCACTTGAAGCTTCAGGTTGTGTGTTTCTTGGAGTGTTTGTATTGAAAAAGAAAAGATTTCAAGCCACCTGTGGTGGGCCAGGAGCTGGGTGAGTCAGGCCAGACACAAGAGGCAAAAAAAGACAGGTGCCCAGGAGCCCCAGCCTGGATTCCCAGCAGGGCTGATGTCCTAACGCGAGAGTCCGTCACTCCATGTGAGATGGAGGCAAGGCTGCCCAGCCATGGAGCTGGATCCAAACATGTCAGTGTGAGCCAGTCAGCACCTCTCAGGCTCTGCCCACAAGGCCAAGTAGCCAGCACTTTCCACAGTGCCCCGGTGCTCCCAGCACCTCCTCCCTGGGGGCTAGAAATGCTGACACCCTGTATCTGTCTGTTCCTGCCAGCCCATCTGCTTGCATCTTTCAGTGCTCACCCCTCCTGGGAGATGCCTCGCTGTTGTGGAGCATGTTCCCAGAGGAGGCCATGTTTAAAGGATCCCAGCCACGTGCCTTATGTTGAGCCCTGAGTAAACTCAAAGCACACCACGGGCCACATGCAGCCTGCATGTCACGTGTTGAGTAGCTCTGCTTTACATGCATCTAAGAAAGATTTAGGGATTGGGTGGATAATCAGCTGGATGTGAGCTCCCAGGGCAATGCTATGGCCAAAGGGGTTAATGAAATCCTTGGATGACTGAACAGGGGAAACTTGAGTAGGACTAGAGAGGAGATTTTATCTCTGTATTTGACATGGATGCAATTATGCCTAGAATACAGTGTCTGGCTCTGATGTCCATAACTCGAGAAGGAAGCTGAAATATTGGAGAGGATTTAAAGAAGAGCCACGGGAACCATTAAAGGATTAGAAAACACGCCTGATATTGAGCTCCTTGAGTCTATCTGTTTAGTTTAACAAATAGAAGATTAAGGGGTAGATTGAGTGATCTAAATGTACCAACTTGCAGAACAAATATTTGATAATGAGCTCTTCCATCTAGCAGAGAAAGGTATTAAATGCGCCAATGGCTAGAAGCTGAAGATAAAGAGATTCAGACTAGAAATAAGGCATAAGCTTAATACAGCGTAATTAACCACTGAAACAATTTACCAAAGGTCACAATAGATTCCAATCATGGATTATTTTTAAAATCAAGATGTGATCTTTTTCTAAAACACGCACTTTGGGACAGTCCTGCTACATAAACACCATTATGCACTATGTCAAAGGGAAAAAAACCCTACAACTAAATGATTTGATTCTCATTTTTTAAAAAGACAAACAGCCATAAAATAAATAATAATGACTCTTTTAATAACCAGGCTTCTTATGCTAAGTAGGCTCAGTCTGATCAATGCTTGAATGGAAAATTTCTAGAGAAAGGCTAGGTGCTAAAAAGTTCTGTTGGTGATTCAGAAGTTGCTTTTCATTCTTCCTGTATGGTGTAAAAGCAATATGCCATCATGAATTGCAAGATGGGTTATTGTTTGCTTTCCGATGTGCTCCTCAAGAAGATCATATATTTCTCCTGGCAGGCGTTTGCTATCTGATCTATGTTAACTAGAACAGATAATTCCAGGCAAAAAAGAGTAAACTCAGGAGACTGCAGCAATTGTAATAGGCACGGTTAGGTCCTCTCTTTGATACTGAAGTGTTTCAGTATTGTAGATAATGGTGTAGCTTTGCTCCTTACCACAACCATTCATTCCCCAGTTGTACTTCTCAGAGTTAAAGCAATATACTAAGTGCCATATAATATTGGTATCTCTTAATTTGAAATAAGAACGCCACAAAAATTTAAGCAGAAAGTACTCTCTTCATATTTTGAAAAACCAAGAAATGTATGACTGAGTATGAAACTCTACCATGATATTTCTGCTCTAACTGATATAAATGAGTTTCTTCTCAAATCATTCATTTAAGTATTTTATATAATCTAGTTAATGCCCGACAAATGGCTCTCTCTCTGGAAGTCTGTGTTACTGTTTTTTCTGCTGTAAGCATAAGTCAACATTTATATAGGATGCATTATATATTTTATATATATTAGATGCACTATACGTATCTATTAAATTTAGCTATAGCACTACAGCTTCTGCTAATGTAGAACTCACTTTTAGTTTTTACCTCAGTTAAAAAAATAAGAGGAAGTTGAATGTACAAGTGAGCTGCATTTGTAATCCATTTTGCCATGGAAACCACCACACTGTGGAA